GATAATTTGTTGTAAGTAAGATATTTTTTATCGTACTTTTAAAATGTCTGATCACGATCACGCTATCCGTTGCAAGGTCGACCGCTTAGTTTTGACAGACGAGCGAAGCCGAAGGCGCCATATTGGCATTTCCTAAGGAATGTGTAGACTAGTCTAGTCTTGAGTGGACCGACTTTGTTTGTCTTGAATATTGTATTAATAATAAAAAACATCCTTAATGATTATGATAATGGTTTAGAAATGCTAACATATGTATATACGTACGCATGGTAGGTGCGTGCTCTATTGTGGGGCCACTTGTTCAATGTTAGTCCAGTTTGTATTGTACCCATTGTACTTGAGGTGCCGCGTGATGTTTTCAATCTGCGTTTAGTGTGTGTCGCGTTATGACGCAGACTGTTACGTCTTGCATTCCTCTTATACTGATTACATTAACGTATAACTTCGATAACGTTGTGCAAAGATCTGATAATGGCGATTAACAAACATCCGTTGAGAACCAATCACTAGTATCTCTCAATTATTTTAGTATCTAACGAAATCAGAATTCGAGTCGTGTACTTGGAATTACGTATTATTGCTTCGGGCTGAGATGAGACGATTAATTGGCTGTATAAAAGCAATTGATATATGATTTGATTAGGTTAAACAGTGGGCGAGGAAATAGACCAATAACCATACGACATAGCTGCCCTTGCTCAACAAATAAACAGATAATAATTGTGATGCCTCCACATAGAAAATGCAACATCTATTTACGTCTCAAATTTTGTAGCGAATCGCACACAATTGTATCCAATGAATACTTAATGTATTGGAAAAAACGCATAATGTGAAAATAGAAATTGTTTTTGACAACAAAGCAGTTAATGTGACGATTATAGAACATACTTTCTCGTTATGAAGGAATTCAATTGAGCACTTTGAAAATAAATAAATTCATAATTTCACATTCTCGTTCCGTACCGTGCGGGTTTTGTTTCGCACGCAAAAACTGCCAAGTTCATGATCTGTGGCGTGTGACATGCGTTTAGTCACGGCTACTGTGTTGTTATGACTGTTTTTAATAACATTATGTCGGAATTTTGTGTCTTTTTCAATTCTATTAGCTGTTAATGTAATCATCTTTTGTTCAACAAGCTTAAGTTTGTAATGTGTTTGTTTTATACAATCTGAGTGGGACCTGTTTTATTTTCCTTGTCTATTTTTTGTGAATTTATAACCGATTCTATAATCATCACATAACGTACGATATAAACGAAGCTAGATAGAGTATAATCTTGTATAATTATCATAATATTATACTTACAGGAAACACGTACAAACGTTTGGGGCCCAAAACGGCTACAAATTTTAATATACTGCTTCAATTCACGTTGTAGAAGGAAAAATCAGAATTGTAGACGATAATCCATTATTTAACGATAGCGTGACGAATAAAATGTCAAACAACACACGGTACGAAGTGACTTGGCCCCAAAAAAGTACATTTATGATCATTGTTGTCCGTACAAAGGTATGCTGTGGTTTGAACAAATATTTGATCGATATATTTACTCAAACATGGCTGATAACATGATTTTACATGTTAGTAATATATGTGACGAGTGATTATTCCCAACCATTATCTTTAGGATACATGTAATTAGTTCCATATAGTATATGGCTGTGTATCCTTTCGATTTTACCATTGATATTAGGTTTGTCATATAGCATGGTGTCTAAAAAAACAACGAATAACCGTCGTCATATTCCAAGCGGGAAATAAGTAAATCCTATACAGTCATTGAAAGCCTTGTTTAAATAGAAACTGCCTCGTTGGCCGAGTGGTCGCAAGTGCAACTGCCGGGCAAGGGGTATCGGGTTCGATTCCCGGGCAAAGTATTACTGGATTTTTTTAATTCTCAGTAGTAGTACGTAGTCTGGAATTGTGTCCGGTATATGGCAATAGGCTCACCCCCTATTACATGGGACTCATAACATGAATAATGAAAAGTGGGTGTTACATTGTACAGTGGCATAATATACACCCCATCCTACCCCTTCCGGCATAAAAGGCGTGATGTTATGTTATGTTATTCAAAGAGAAAACATGGGGAGAATAACCTTCATAATACAATCTATAACCTGCACGGCCTAACCTCGGATTTGTTTTTAAATCTCATTTCAATTTACGTTCACCAGTCTATCTTTTGTTCTCTCTACAAATAATATAATGTATTATTCCTCGGTTTACACACGTATTGTTCTATTTGAGACTGAGTTCAAACATAATTCTCCGTAGAACAAAATAACTCTACGCAACAGACGTCTCGAGCCGACCTTGGCAGAACAGCTGATTTCTACGTCTCAATAAAAAAGTTAAAGTATTCCTATTGAAGCTTGTAGAGAACACGGTTCGTGTCTGATACGATTTGTTACGATTGCGCATTTGACCTCAACGTGCGACCGACTGATTTCAAATCGACGAGGAAAAACAATACAAAATTTCGTATTTTAATCGGACGCCGTAACGAGGTCACATCGCATAGTTCATGAGAGCGTTCGTGCGCCCCGCCGTGACAATGACAATGACACTTTTACAGATTCAAAAAAAAATCCCAATGATTTATGGGCAGTTGCGAAAATATTCTCGAGTTACTCGTAGATAAAGCGAACACGTGTGCGTTATTATGTACACTACAGGAGAGGTGTTAAGGCTGTGGTCGCGATGGGATTGCGATGTGTTTATCGCCAAAATAGCATTACCGATTGCATCAGCTAAAAGATATGAAGAAATAGTTCTACAAAGTTTTCTAAATTTAAAGAAGGCGTCGTTGTACTTTTGTTGCGTAATAATTTGATGTTACGAGATAATTTTGTTGCAATGGGCCGTGAGCACTGCACTTGATGACTTTGGAATTGCGTTTCAGTTTTGTTAAAAATCGACTACAAGTTGCACCTAATACAATAAAATGATAATATCATTTGTTATTACATCATTTATAATGCCAATAAATATAAACGGAAACAAAATAATGTGACAATTAATCAAACACATGTAGCAGAAACAATGAATGCTAAACACGAACATAATTGGTCCATAGAATATAATCACGCAAACTTGACTTAGAAATTCTAGTTCACGAATCCTGTTGCATTTATTATCAATAATGACACCAATAAAATGGGAAGTAGCTCAGCAGGACATAATTATCCAGTGGAACGAGAATTCAATAGCGATAGTATAAACGAACCGGATAGAATTGATAAAGGCAGCGTGGGCAGCTCATGATAGATTGGCATTGTGAACGCCGATACTTTGTCTAGATAAGTTTAAAGTAATTCGAACAGGTGGCCTGTGAAAATATTTGTGGTTTATCGTTGCTTATTTTGATGTATTTTGTTTTAGAATATTTTTTGGCGTTTCGTCAGTATCATAAAATTTGTTTGCTTCTCTTGTTGTTTCTGTTTTACGTCTTTTCTTGCAACCATTTTTATGTACAGCTTTGTTTTCACTAAATTAGCAAGGTTTAGTTTTGGTTATCGTTATCCATGCCCCAGTTTTGATGAAAAGTAAGACTACTTTACCTATAAAACGGAACTTACTTAATGTATTTACAAACACTATATACATTTTTATTACAAAAAACAACAACAATGTAAGTAACACTTAGCCACGTATATTTTCCGCGTAACGTTTCCATTAACCTTTTTGATGAGTAAGACAACTATAATTTCGTTACGAAGGCAAATTGTTGTTTTATTGGCAAGTGTTACTTCAGAGCCGTAATTTAAACACATACATTTGTATAAGTATAATGAATAACTGACTAACTCATACCTACTTAGTGAAATTACTTTAAAAACAAAAGCTCTTCAATAATAATTGATTAAAAAGTTGTTAAGATAAATAAAATAACCAAGTAATAACTTTGCAGACACAAAATCCTATTATTCCATTTAAAATGACTATCTCTAGCATCCTTAATATAATCAATAAAACGTAAGTGCAACATAGAAATTCAATGACAATCATACGTATGTATAGTAAGCGGGCTAGACCAATATTACTCAATTCCCGTTCAAAGACCATTGAACTCCAACAATACGCCACTTAAATAGAATCGCTTACAACGTCTAATGGACAAAGATTTATTACAAACTCATTGGGCCCAATGCTTGCCATATTTAGACACAATAAACCATTTAGCCAACGGAAAGAATGGCCATTGTACATATAAGGAAATTTTATTGGTGCATGCAGGCAATCGCGCATTTTGGAACATGGAACTGTGCCAGATAAGTTCGCTGAGGCATTTAAATAGCAGATCTTTGCAATTGCAACAAAATAGCACTTGTAGCAGAGAATAAAAATGAAAGCGTTTTGTTGGGATTGCCAATTTTGCTATACAGTTTATTGAGCGACAATAAAACGACACAACAGACAATCAGTGTGCATTAAAAAAATAATGGCATTCATTTGTACAAACAGCGCACCCAAATCCTATTTGCTTGGAGTTAACCTTGATAGCATTGCTAAGTATTGAACAAGCAAAAAAATATTGTGCGCCATCGCTCAATCGTTCTCGGGAATTGTTTAATTATGTCATTCATTTGTCTGCGATATTCTTTTATTTTTTAACTATTAATAGCACTATTTTGTTAATTTATAATCGACTATTAGCAACAAAGTGTGAAACGTTTTGTCAGTCCAACTTCGCATACTTATGTCTATTGTTTTGTACATACAAGCTGGTGAAGATTAGGTCTATCTAATAAGAAAATGAAGAATTATTATGTAGGTAATGACCAAAGATTGCCAATCTTGTACGAAACATCTAAGCAGTATTGCTTTCTATATTTCCTTTTGATGTAATCTAGGATCATTACGCTGTGGTTTCCTCAATACACGTGATGCCGCGATGCATAGTTTTCGCAAACAATTATTACTTTTATGTACGTAAATACCATTGTAAAACTCCAGTTTATTAACAGAGTTCCTTTTATTATTGTTACAGAGCGAGTCGAGCTACACTTCATCAGAAGAGGGCTGCGGTGGAGGCGAGCGTCACGCCGTGCTCAGTTACGAGCAAGTGCGGCGGCTCAACGACGTGATGGATGAGGTGGTGGCCATCCACGGCCGCGGCAACTTCCCCACGCTGCATGTGCGCTTGCGCGAACTTGTGGCGGGCGTACGCGCGCGTCTCGAGGCACCGCAGACCGCGGGCGGCGCTGGCGTCAACGTCCGTGACGTACGCCTCAACGGCGGCGCAGCCAGCCACGTGCTGGCCGACCGGCCGCAGCCATACTCCGACATCGACCTCATCTTCACGGCCGAGCTGCCCACCGCACGTCACTGCGACCGCGTCAAGGCCGCCGTGCTCGGACACCTGTCCACCCTCATGCCACCTGCTACACCGCGTCGCCGCGCTTCGCCAGCTGGCCTCAAGGAGGCCTACGTCTCAAAGATGGTTCGCGTGAATTCGGACGGTGACCGCTGGTCCCTCATATCCCTCGGCAACTCACGCGGCCACAAATCTGTAGAGCTGAAGTTTGTAGACACAATGCGTCGCCAGTTTGAGTTCTCCGTCGACTCGTTCCAGATTGCTCTCGATTCGCTCCTCGCGTTCCACGAGTGCGCTCAACTGCCCATTGGCGAGAACTTCTACCCAACTGTCGTTGGCGAGTCCGTATATGGCGACTTCAATGAGGCTCTGAGCCACCTCGCTGAGAAGCTGATCGCGACGCGGCAGCCTGAAGAAATTCGTGGCGGCGGTCTTCTAAAATATTGCGCCCTACTTGCAAAGGGCTACCGGCCAGCACGGCCAGACAAAATTAAAACCCTTGAGCGCTACATGTGCTCAAGGTTCTTCATCGACTTCCCTGAGCTCGGGCAGCAGCGTGCTAAGCTCGAGGCCTACCTGAGGAACCACTTCGTTGGCAGAGAGGAGGAAGCTCTGAAGCATAGGTAAATAACATTTTGTAATCTTTGAAAGTTTATTTTTATTCGAAATAAAGAACATTTTAGTTAGAGGCTATGCAAAAGTAAGGAAAATCTACTTGACCAGTTCTTTATCCCAAGCAGTACAAAATGGACACTGTGAAACCCAATCAGACTGGCCGAAAGATTGAATCCGAGATCCTTTCACCTTTCGGTGACTGCATAAATAGACTTTAATGAAGAGTTTGTTTAACCTTTAGTAACTATTGGCACAGGTACCTGACCCTACTGCACGGCGTGGTGCGCGAGTCCACGGTGTGCCTGATGGGCCACGAGCGGCGGCAGACGCTGGCGCTGATCGAGGCGCTGGCGTGCCGCGAGCTGTGCGCGCGCGCGCCCGTGCTGCTGGCGCCGCAGTACTACGTGTGCGTGTGCGCGTGCGCGGCGTGTGCGCAGTGCGCGCAGTGCGTGGCGTGTGCGCAGTGCGCGCCGCCTGCGCCCTACTGCGACTGCTGCCACGCCGCCTCGTGCCCGGCGTGACCGGAGATCCTGTACGACCGACGATGAATTTAGTGCCAAATGTATATAATACGGATAAATGTATGTACGCGTAGGAGCGGGCGGCGGCGCCCCGCCGCGTCAAGTTGCTCACTGTCCGCCGATCAATTCGCTCGTCAATTGTCCCGCGAGCTGGCTGTCGGGCCGGCCCGCGGCTCTCGGCCCGCCGCGACGTGAAGTAATTTCTAGTCGTACTCCTTTCGTGTTGATAACTTAATATGTTAGCAGTACGAAAATTATCGTTCACGTGGATTGTGACGGACGCGCCGCTAGATAGTGAGTCCGAGTCGATGGTCTGCCTATATAAAAAGACTAGTTAGTTATTTTTAAGCTTTTACGTATAGAAGTCTCCATAAAAGTAGTGGCATGTCTCTCGCCGTCGAAATATCACGGAGAAGCGGACGGTCGGATACGAGTTTTATTGCTAACTGTAAGTGAGAAAATTTAATGCGAGAAATGATAACCGGTTCACTTGCGCGACAGATACTAACGGAGGAGCGTGCGTGCTTTTTGTAGGAACAATTATTGTGAAGTAACAAGTCCGGCCTTGTCGACGGCCTTAAACGCGAGAAAATCCGTTGAGTAGTAGTAGATCACGAACGTAGCCAGCGCGGTCGCCTCCGCTCCTCACTCTCACACACGTAAACAACTATTTTACTATGTATTTATCAATCTGAAAGGATGTATGTATACACTTACACGTTTCGTGATCGCTCTAGTATTGTATACGGCTTGGCGTACGAGTAACAAATTAAGATACACATAGAAAAATATAAAATGATAAAAAAAAAACTTAAAAACCCAAAAAAATATATTACTAAGGTGTGTACAATATTAAAGTTCACGCTTTTTTAAATAATATAAAAATACCATTAGAGAATATTTTAAGAACATTTACAAGTAGTGAAGTCACGTTTAGTAACAGAGTACTTATGAACATTTTTTTTACTATTAACGTCTCATCGATTGCAGTTTGTATAAAGCTGTAGATGTATGGAAAATGTGATTTAATTGTTGTATTAATTAACCATGTTGTCGATGATTATATTATTATTATCTACTTACATAAAATTATGTAGATTAAATCCAATAGAGAGATATATTATTATTGTTGTATTTTAATGAGATATAGAATATATGAACGATGGTGTAAACAGTGTCCGGCCAATACGTGAATGTGTTAGATATTTTGCCAAATGCATATTCAGAGTAATTACTATATTTATACAGATTGCATGAACTTTGTAGGGCTTTTACTAAGCAGTTTGTTATGTAGTATATTTTGAGTAGCGGAAAATATATCCGAAGTAATCAAGTACAATCATCTAATAGAGTATTATCGTTAACTTCGGAACAATTTATCGAGTTTATGAACGAATTTTCCCGACTTGCTCACTGTCGAACCAAAATTTAAGATCTCATTTTTTTATCTCTTCAAAAATTCTTTTGGGATAGTAGTGTTGTAATGTATACACTTTTAACTGTTGTCATATGCTTGTTATCTTGGCTATATGTCATTTTGTGACTTGGAGGTGATAAGACATTTGATGCAAGTTAAATATTAATGTGCAGTGATCCGTTGCACTCGTGTGAAAGTCTAGTGCTCATATTTGTGGATAATGTATTTTCTGTAAACTGTATTGGAATGGATTGCAAGCACTAGAGTCGATATTTCGGAATTATATCGCGCGTGACAAAGCACGAGTACAACAGACCATTGCTCTCGTCAAACAGTAGCCCTAAAATTAGAAATAGTACCCAGTCGTCTGTACTTAGAAATAAATGAAGTACATAAACATAGTTAACTGAATCTAAACTTTATTCCATTTATGTAATAAGAGTGAATGTAAGTTAATTATCACTAGTGTTACTTGCTATATCGAGACAGGCGTCTAAGTTGTGATTTGTAGTCTTTTCGACAGGTATTTTAAATGTCATTCTATATTGTCACTATATTTATTATAAATAACTGTGATTGTTATATCTGTATTGTAAATCAGCTATTGGCAAAATCCGTTAAGAACTACCTCCTCGCGCGAAATGTAAAAAAGATAAATCGATGGTATATTTTTGGGAATTTTCCTCTCTACAACTATTGAGATAATTATGTAGTAAATTAAAATTAACCGTAGGGGACTTGCCAGTTATTTACAAATCTCTGTGTAATTTTTCTAAAGTAGACATTTTAACATCGCTATTCCAATTCACACGCTATCTGCAGTGATTTGGCCGATCTACATAATTCTTTCTTTAGTTTGGGTCGCGTTCACTATTCGGAATTTCGTAAACAATCAACTCGTATATTATAAACGAGAATGAATACAATTCTAGAACAGTGAATGCCCCAAGAGATGCTGTAACTGGTTAGTTTATAAAGCTCTTCCACAAACCACGACGAGTGGCTAAACGCTTCTAAAACGGTCTAAATATTTTGAAAATTTTATTTTGCAAAGAGAGACATTGCAATATAGTTTAGGAATTTTTATTTTTTTTCTAAAGTTACCATCAGTTTTCAGCTAGCCTTATTTTATAATTAATTTTTAATTCTAATGAGCACTGGTCAAATGGCGTTCTCGTGCAATAGATGGTTGTTTGTTAATATATGTATATATTGTTGGATTATGGTTTTGTGAATTTGATATATTTTACAGAGATATATACTAGTCTCCTTATATTATGTAATGTACTTAAAACAATGTTTCTTAAACTACCACGAAGGTTTATGTCAAAATCGTTTTCGAATTATCAAATGCATCTCAGTTTTATATTATCTCATGTTCTCCTTGTGGTGAAATATTGTTGAAAGCCCTATAAGTATTGTATCGTACTCTTGAAATTTATGAGATTGAATCTAGGTTTTGTTTCGTATTTTCAATGTACTAAGTTTTCTAATAAATATTGTAACTTCGTCATTTAACTTGGTTGAAGATTGAAAAGTAATTGCAGTCTGTACGTTTCTCTAAGTATTTTGGCATCTATGACGTAATCAGCATAGACGACGTTAACATCTATAGCATTGTTTAAAAGAAAGTTCTGAAACCGTTGGGCATTCAAAACTTGTCAAATGTCATTGATCAAAGACATAAACATATTAACTGATGAACATTAATTTTATTCAAACAAATATCAGCCAGTGCTTATATAGATGATAATGTCGCTGCTATCAAACAAATGGCATTTGAGGAAACAAAAGTACGTGAATTATGCAAAAAAGTTGTAATGCAATCTAAACTAGAAGCATTTACTTATCTATTTATAAAATGTTGATACTGGAACCGAGTTTCTTGTTCAACGAAATGCTACGAAAATAGTTTTCATCAATTAACTATAAAGTACATGATTCTTTTTGTTCTCATTTCGTTGAAGAAGCGACTGGGTTTTGGGTTTGTGTTAGATTTATTTTGGAAGTAAGAGCACGTGAACGCCGTAGTAAGAAGCGAAGCTTCGCGGTACTAGAGGTGTCGACAACTAGCAGCGGTGCGGTTTTAGTCTACTGTCCTACAAAACCAGTACAAATGTCAGAACTATCATTATTCCGTGGGTGTGGCACTATTCGGTAGTTGGTATAATAGAGCTTAATGCGTTTTTAAATGGACAATTTGCATTCAATAGCCTTGAACGTGCATAATATGCCAATATCGCAGATAAAGGTATCTTATCATGTTATTCTGGAATATTACGCGATTAAAAGCATTGATTGTTTAAAGTAAATAAATTGTATGAGAACTGGATTTTCAAATGTTTGTCCTTTTTAGTCATCTCTTGTCACAAATGCCCCGCGTCCACAGAGTGAATAGATTACATAGTTGTGACGTCACACACCATCCCCTGCACCACTGCTACCTGTCTGCCTTCTGCGTCCCCGAAGCTCGCCGTGTCGAAACTGTCGCTCATATGTTAAAAGCGAATGTTCGACACACCGACTCTCTAGTTTAGGGGTTTCTAGGCCTTACGTTATATAAGCTTATATTAGGTTATATCAAGTATATTTACATTATAGTTATTATTTTTTCTTTCTCTTCCAAGTTGCCTGTTTCGTGTTACACGAACCGCGACGATGTGTTGTTACGATACATAATTACTATTATATTTGTGAGGAGTTTTAAGCTATTGTAAATTTTACAGAAATAAAAATGTTGTGAAAATAAATTATAAAAAAGTGATATAAACAGTGAATTTGTGTCTTTTATTTTTACCCACGATGGAACAGGAGAGTAGTAGTAAAGAGTTATGCTTAAATTTGTTTCTACTGTCATTGAGGCAAATAAATAATGTTCTCAATTATTAAAAAATAAAATAAAGACTGCCTCGTTGGCCGAGTGGTCACAAGTGCGACTGGGCAAAAGGTCTCGGGTTGGATTCCCGGATAAAAATTCTCAGTTGTAGCACGGAGTCTGGAATCGTGTCCAGTATATGGCAATAGGTTCACCCCTTATTACATGAGACTCATAACATAAATAGTGAAAAGTAGGTGTTACATTGTATAGTGGCATTAAGTGCCGTAATGTACACCTCTGCCTATCCCTTCGGGGATAAAAGGCGTGATGTTATGTTGTTGTTTCTATTAATATGGCAATTTTGTAATGAGTACTTAAAAATGCAACAATAATAAAAAGTAATACCAACGTTAACGTGGTGGTACGAAAACACATACGAGATAACCTGAGGAAATACTAGGCTGAAATCCTAGGTCAAGAAGTGAAAGACTAAAACTGTTTATCGTAATAATCAATTTACCGTTATAAGACCCAGTGGACCAATAGACGAAAATGACCTGTCATTGATCGGGGGTTTCCCGAAACGAATGACTCAAACCTACAAGCTTAAATGGTATTTCCCCCTAAAACAATAGTAAAGTACGTATGAAAATAGGTACAATTTATATTATTAATAGGTTCCTTAATAGATAAACATTCATAACATAATAATATATAACAGATTATTTATGAATCATTTTTATTAAAAATGGATTTTTCCCAATA